ACAAGCATCCCTATGGATTTATTTGAGCTTTTCTTTGGGTTTTTAGTGGTTTTGCGACTACAATTTGTAACACATGATGTCTCCAAAGAAGCTGCTTGCTAAAGATATTGTTGTCAAGAGGAAGAAAGAGACAATTACTGTGGATTTAAAGAAGGAAATTATAGCAAAGCATGAGTGTGGTGTCTGTGTGATTGATCTCACAAGGAAGTATGGCAGGTCCTCATCAACAATTTACACCATTAGTAAGGGAATGAGGAGGTAAGGGAGGATGCTGCCTCTTCCACCGAGATCAGGGAAGTGTTTGGAATGTTTGAAAAGGTGAACGCATTCTTGGAAAAGCTGCCCTGATAAAGCAGTGACAACCCAGTGTGTGAAAATGTTTAATTAATTTATCACTTTGTGATAACACTTTATGAAAGTGTTATCACTTTCACAGGTATATGTCGCTTGAACGTAACACACTTTTTTCTCTTGAATGCACCCAAACACCGCGCTCAAGCGTCATATGAGCAAATATTTCTATAAAATCCAATTCTTATCCGATCGACTTGGGGATTGTATACATGTTTGCCATGAAATTTCCGTTTTCTTTAATAATCACATTGCCTATTTGAGAAAACAGCATTGTATTGTATCTTCGTGGTAAGACTATTATATTGTTGACACAACGAGTGTAATCAACGTAGTTTTTTATCTGGTGCTGGTCTAACGCATCCTTGTGTAACATTTGAAATGAAATTTGGGTGAAATTCCCAAGAAGAGAGAGTCCGCCTGACTCAAGAGGTGGATTCTCCTTCCACACCATAACCCCTCTCATCCTTCCCACCTCCCCATCGTCTCCCTCAAGCCAGCAACTACTCTTCATAAGGTAAAGTAAATATTAAAACACTACAACAAAACATTTATATTTACATGTGCAATATTATATTTACATAAAAAAAAGTCATACAAGTATGGATGTTTTTGGGAGTGGAACGGATTAAATTTATTTCCTTTATTTTAAATGGGGAAATTTGTTTCCAAAGACGAGTTTTCCAGGTAACGAGCTCGGTGCCAGAACGGATTAAACTCGTTAATAGAGGTTCCACTGTATTTTCCATGTATAAATTATTATGTATCTCCCCCCGCCTGCACTCAAGAGAATACAGATTTAGGCTCTTTAGTCGGTCCCAGTAGTTTAAATGTTTTACCGAGTGGATTCTAGCAGTAAAGGATCTCTGCATGCAATCCAGGTCAGCAATTTCTCCAGCTTTGAAAGGGGCTGTCATTGTGCAGCAGTACTCTACTCTACAGAGCACTAGCGTCTTGAAAAGTATCATTGTCGATATAGCATCTCTAGTGTGAAAGGTTCTTGTTATCCAACCTGTAATTTTTCTTGCAGTTGTGATGGCTACTTTATTGTGTTCTTTGAAGGTAAGGTCTTCCGACATGAGTACACCCAAATCCTATACATTACCGTTTTCGTTCTATGTTATGATTTAACTGAGTTTTGTACGTGGTTTCCGTTTTTATATTTTAATTTTTTCCGTAGTGCATAAGCTGGAACTTATCTTCGTTAAACACCATATTATTTTCTGTAGCCCATAGAAAGACCCGATTTACATCTGATTGGAGGTGTGCCGTGTCCTCTATATTGTCTATCTTCTATATTGTCTACTCTCATGAAAATACTAGTGTCATCTGCAAAGGATGATACAGTACTACAGATTGTGTCCTTGTCTATGTCTGATATGAGGATGAGAAAAAGTACTGGAGAGCAAGCACAGTACCCTGGGGAATTGAGCTCTTCACAGTTGATGGTCCAGATTTTATTTTGTTGACTATTATACATTGGGTTCTGTTAGTCAGGAAATTGTAGATCCATCTGCCTATTTTTCCGGTAATTCCTTTTGAACGCATTTTATGTGCAATAACAATATGGTCACATTTGACAAAGGCTTTTGCGAAATCTGTGTAAATTACATCAGCGTTTTGTTTGTCTTCCATGGCATCTAATGCCATGTAATAGTGGTCCAGCAACTGTGACAGGCAAGAGCGCCCTGTTCTGAAACCATGTTGTCCGGGGTTATGGAGATGCTGTGATTCTATGTATTTTGTGATCTTACTTTTTAGCACTCTCACAAAGATTTTATGATGTACGATGTCAGTGCTATCAGTCTAATTTTTTGCCTCTGCCTTATTTCCTCTTTTATAGAGTGGTGCTATCTCTGCTGTTTTTAGTATGTCAGTTCTTACTATACATTCTTAGTACACATATATTTTAGTATATGAAAAGTATTTTGGGTTCCTCTCTATTTTACTGATGGCCTTTTGCTCTCTTTGCCTCTCCTGGGTTTTGTATGATTCTTGTAGCTTTAGTTCAATTGTTTCTATTTCTCTACCTAGCTTCTTCGCCGTTCTTGATATAGGGTGCTACTTAAGTTGTTCCGCGATTCGTTTTCTTCGCCTATAGAAGGAACAACATTCTCGTTCCAATTTGCATCTCTTCCTCTTTTTTTTCTTAGGGGTATGCGGTTTGAGCATATTTCTAGTGCTACTGAACTTATTTTTTACAGGGACTGGCTCAGGTTTGCATTTTCTAGTTGTTCTTCCCAGCTTATTTCTGTGACGTCTTGATTTATTTGCTCCCAGTTTATCTGTTTATTATTTAAGTTGAATTTGCTGAAATATCCTCCACCGGGAATCAGGACTGGTTTTGAAGATTTATTATCCATGCTTGTCAGAATTTCAACTCAGTTGTGATCTGAGTAACAGGTATTTGTAATCATTATGTTCCTGATCAATTCATCATTATTGGTGAAAATGAGGTCCAGCGCGTTCTCCTTCCCAGTTGGTTCTACTATTTGCTAGTTTAAGGCAAACCTGTTGCACATCCGTAGCAGGTCTTTGCATGTGCCTGTTCATTTAGGCTACTTCCTGGTATTTTTTTATATACTGTAACTGTATTAACTAGTTTCTTCCATTTTAGGTGCCATAGATTGAAGTCTCCAAGCAGAATGATGTTCGTGGCTGGATTTGTGAGGTTTTCCAAGCAGTGTTCTATTTTCATTAGTTGGTCTTTAAACTGCTGATGATTTGCCTCCGGTGACTTATCTACAAGGAGAATAACTACACTTATCACACACAGAGATCACAATAACGTGATGCATCAAAACACGCAGGTTCGAATCCTCGTCACGGCCCTTGTGGATTTGTGCATTTAACTACACTTATGTTCTCTATTTTGATTATCAGCACTTCCACCTTATCATTTGTGGTGTTTAGCAGCTCAGTACAGATGAGTGACACGTGTCTTTGATGTAGATGCTGACCCCACCCTGTAGCCGGTGTTTCCTATCACATCTGAAAAGATTGTATTCCGAAATCCATATTTCACCATCATCTTTATCTTGAGTTATCTAGAGATAATTTCGGGGCTTAGTGTCCTCACGGCCCAGTCCTCGATCAGGCCTCCACCCCCAGGAAGCAGCCCGTGACAGCTGACTAACTCCCAGGTACCTATTTACTGCTAGGTAACAGGGGCTTCAGGATGAAAGAAACTCTGCCCATTGTTTCTCGCCGGCACCCGGGATCAAACCCGGGACCACAGGATCACGCGTCCAGTGTTCTGTCTGCTCAGCCACCGGCTCTAGTGGCTGTTAGTCCTTGGTGTGAGTTTCCGTTAGGGCTGCAAACACTGCATTTGCCTCGTGTAGGAGGCCATGTATGAATTGCACTTTGTTACATTTGCGTGTTTTTATACCCTGAATGTTGGAAAATAAAAATTATATTATATTTGTGGAAGTGCTGGATGCTTTACTTGGTGTTAATATCCGAGGCTCTGGTAAGGCCCTTACCTTGAGGTTACCTTGAGGTGCTTCCGGGGCTTAGCATCCCCGTGGCCCAGTCGACGACCAGGCCTCCTGGTTGCTGGACTGATCAACCAGGCTGTTGGATGCGGCTGCTCGCAGCCTGACGTATGAGTCGCAGCCTGGTTGATCAGGTATCCTTTTGGAGGCCACTGTGTTTGCGTCCTCTCCAACATTTGACCGAGTTGGTGGTAGAGTCTGGACATTTTTAGCCATTCTTCTCCTCCTCCTCTTGCTAAAAAATCATCCTGGTAAATAATGTTGTGGCAGCTTTCCTTGAGGTGGTTTGTCGGTCTTATTCGCCTGGTACCCCTTATATGAATAGCTGGACATTCCATACTGAAGCACTCTTTCCTATCTAAGGAGTTCTTGCAAAGTTCTGAGTGAAAAAATTCACAGCTTTCGGTGCATTTATCCGTACTAAGGAGGATTTTGCACTTTCTAGGGTGATTGTACTTACAAATTCCATTTGTTCTTCCTGATAACTCATGCTTACAGGTACCCATTTATAATAACATCAGGTTTCGAGCCCATGTTTTGTTTGTTATCCTAAGCCAAGTTTTCCATAGCCAAGCAATGTTCATACCATAACTAAACAATGTTCATATTATAACCAAGCAATGTTCATACCATAACCAGGCAATGTTCTATGAAATATCACCATCCATGTAATAACTTGCCATAATCAGGCAAATGATTTTGCTTGCACATTGGTACTATCTTTAGCCTAGCAGAGCTTATAATGCAATATCAATTAAACTTTAAACCTAACTGAACATTCTTGTTTCTAGATAACAAAATATGTCAGTGTCACATCAAGGTCACATATCAATGCAAAGTCTTGCCTTACCTGGGGAGCTGGTCGGCCGAGCGGACAGCACGCGGGACTTGTGATCTTGTGGTCCTGGGTTCGATCCCAGGGGCTGGCGAGAAACAATGGGCAGAGTTTCTTTCACCCTATGCCCCTGTTACCTAGCAGTAAAATAGGTACCTGGGTGTTAGTCAGCTGTCACGGGCTGCTTCCTAGGGGTGGAGGCCTGGTAGAGGACCGGGCCGCGGGGACACTAAAAAAGCCCCGAAATCATCTCAAGATAACCTTCATGCAAACAGTAGATATCTACATTATGGATATTTCAAAGCTTTATACACTACCTGATTGGTGTGGTAAGCAAGGAGGCAGTGGTTGAGGCTAATGGTAGACCGCTGATAGCTGGTCAGTTTGTGCTCGAGACCCGGTGCCATGGCCGTCTTCATCCTCTTGCGCGAGTCAAAGACATTGGCTGCTCGATTAATGGAGACCAAGTTGTTGTTGATGATAGCCAAGAGGGCTGGGTCCTCAGGCTTAGACTTGAGCACATTATTATAGACCGCGAGGGCCTCTCGCTCCCGTCCCAGCAGCTGCATACAGTGACCCTGTTGGACTCTGAAACAACACACACATGACAAGATATATTCCACTACACACATCAAGCCAATCCATTTTAACCAACATTCTTAACTGCAGAATACACAACATTTACTAGTAAAAATGTAAATACTTAACATTCAGAAACAATAAAATTTGCATTATCCTAATACTAACATAAAATTGGGAACTGCCTAATGGGACATGCAGGACGTATCTTATTTTTACGTAACCAAAGTCTCTTGTATATACATGTCTAACCTTTACATGAAACTATCCAGCCAGCCAAAGAGCCATCCCAAATCTTTTGTGTGACCCAGTAATTTGTTCTACAAATGAACCTTATACTGGTACAGTATTCATAAACCAAGATTTAAAATATATGGTACATAAACCAGTTTTTTTTTTCCGAATCTACACTTATCTAATTTGCATTCATTGTTTCATGTTTTATTTTGTATCGACATATACTGTACATATTATATACTGTTGTTATACCCTTTCCTCCATTTGAACAACTCAATCATGTCACCCCCCCGCCAATTCTTCACCTTTTGCAGTCTCCGTGGCACAGTGGTAAAGTAAAATGTGTGAACCAACTGTACAATTAAACTGGTATGGTGTCCAAACACCATAGTGGCCACCAATACCCCAGCCAGCAGACTATATGCTACCTCACTCACCAACAATCCTTACCCCACTATACTGTTCGTGCCGTTATTACACTATGTACACACATTATATGTAAGTATCTACATGTTTTATTCACCATAACTGTACAACTAAGCTGGACAGTGTCCAAACAACATATTGGCCACAAAAAACTGCATGACAAATGACACAGCAGCTAGCAGATGACGCCACCTCCCTTAGCAAAATGACTCCTCCTCCAACATACTCCTTTTCCTTTTATTACACTATATACACACACACGTTATATATATAAATATCTACATTTGTGTTCACCATAACGAACCACTAACCTGGTATGGTGAGTCCAGACAATAACAGGTGGCCACACAGAATCAGCAGACGATGCTACCTCCCTCCCTCACCAAGATTACTCCTCCCACCATACTACGCACAGCGCTAATTATCACCACAATCCTGCTATTATCAGAATCCTGGTCATTTTTATCACAGTCAGGGGTCGTCTGTAATACTATCATTAAATAATAGCAGTTACATACATATTTTATCATTTTTAGGTGATGCTGTGGTCACAAGCTGAACAGCAGTGCTGTTAGCTCATGCTGCGTGCACCAGCCTTGGTTGCTGCCTCAGTATTGAGGCTCTCACACCCAGGAATGTTACCCACGATTTAAAAAAAATGCTGTCTGTTTACAAGCGGATGTGAAGCTGATGATGAAGGTGAAGCCCTGAGGAAGCTGGTGTGAACCTCGTGTAGCCGTGGGGCATTTAAATCGAGTGCTGCACAATCAATCATCAATGTATCATGTGCACCATTCCGTGACAGTTACTCCTATCGTCTATGTATGTATGTAGTGCATCCTTTAAGGGTTAACCCTTAAATGGAACATGGCTATATACCATTTGACACCCACAGGTGCATAGAAAAAAAAAAAAAAAAAAAAAAAAAAATCTCCCTAACCTGTTAATTTGCTTTCACTGATCATGGGAAAAATAATAAAAAAATCATAAGTGGCATATATTGCCCGCTATAGGGCGGGGAAGACTGGCAAAAAACAGGCGCTGACTCAGCGTGCGTCCCAGGCGGTCTGTTGCTTGCCAGCTTTCAGGCCGGAGTTGCCACAAAGAGATAATTATCTAATTATTTCAATGTCTCTGATTGATTTTTCGTAGTTTTTTTGCTATAATATTATTCAATAATGTGTAGTGTGATATATTTATATAATAAAATGAGTGAATCATCGCTGTATTCAAAAATATGGTGTGCATATTGTTGATTCAATTATGTTCATCAAACAGTGAACAAATAATTTGTCGGTTATTACACTATATACACAGGTTATATATAAGTATCTGCATGTTTTGTTCACCATAACGAACCACTAAGTTGCTATTATGAGTCAAAAAGTAACGAGGAGTGACCGCCGTGTACCAGCCAGCCACTCACGCCCACCCTCAAGTCACCTGACTCACCCACATTCTCCTCCCACAATACTGTTTTTGCTTTTACTCACTATATACAGACGCTATATATAAGTACCTACATTCGTGTTCACCATAACGAACCACTAAGTTGGTATGCTGAGTGGCAGTGGCAGCCAGTGGCAGCCCGCCACTGGCTGCCACTCCATCCCTCCCTCACCTCACCTGACTTGCCACCATTCTCCACCCACAATACTGTTTTTGCTTTTATATACAGACGTTATATATAAGTATTTACATGTTTTGTTCACCATAACTGTACATCTAAGCTTGTATGGTGAGTAAAGGCACAAAGACGTAGGACCTCACACAGTCAGCTGATGGCTGCCGCCCTCAAGGCCAGACGCACTAATATTTCTCCTCCAACAATACTGTGTGGTGTTATTACGCTATATACACACATTATATATAAATATCTACCTGTTTTATTCACCATACTTGTACAAGTAAACTGGTATGGTGCCCAAAGACCATCGTGGTAACCAGTAAGCAACATGATAAATCGTGCAGACGACGCCACCGCCCTCACCAAAATGGCAGCTCCCAACCTACTACTCTTGCTGTTTATACCCTCTATACACACATTATATATAAGTATCTACATTTGTGTTCACCATAGCGAACCACCAAGCTGGTATGGTGAGTGCAGTCAATAAAAGGTGGCCACACACAGTCAGAAGACATCACCACCACCCTCCCTCCCACAGCATTACTCCTCCCTCCCACAGCATTACTCCTCCCTCCATGGCGCACAGCTCTAAATATCACCACAATCCTGCTATTATCAGAACCCTGATCAGTTTTATCACAGTCAGGGGTCTTCTGTAATAATATCATCGCTACATAATAGCATGAACAAGTGTATTATAGCATTTTTAGGCGATGGTGTGGTCACAAGCTGAACAGCAGTGCTGTGAGCTCATGCTGCATGTGTCAGGCTTGGTAGCTCACTCAATACCGAGGCCCCTAACACCCGGGAATTTGGCCCACGATTATTTTTAAAAATGGCGTCTGTTTACAAGAGCCCTGATGAAGGTGTGGTGAACCCCGTGTATCCGCAGGGAGTTTAAATCTTTCGTAGTACAGAATCCACTCAATTTAACGGCCTCTTTTGTACCGATCTGCCGGTAATAACGACTGGTTTGGGAGACCGGTATTTAGAGCCTCATATAACGGTATGGTGGTCGATATTACCGAAGGTCGGTATTGGGTTTCTCTTGGCATCACAGGGTCCTCACATGGCAAGCAGGCCGCCTACCCCTTTCATCCCCTCCCTCACCCTCGCTAAACCTCTACCCCCCCCCCCCCCCCCAGACCCTTCTGGGAAATGGCTCAGTAGACTGCCAGCCAGTCAAAGACAGCCTGGAGAATCTCCATCTAATAAAGCATTCATGAAACAATTATCTTATAACTTTTTATTATCCTAATAATATTACTAAACAAAATCTGCAAGCAAAAATATATATGATGTACATACAGAATTAAATAAAGAAACATCTGGTTAACTGGGTCAAGTGTTAGGCTTGTCTCTTCCCTTCCCCACCACCGACACACACACACACACACACACACACTCTCACCCCCCCCCCATACTTCCCATACACACGCTCTCTCTGCTTCACCTCATCATCCACTGCTCCATCCCTCCCTCCCTCCATCCAACCATCCCTCCCTCCTTCCCAGCTCCCTCCCTCCATCCAACCATCCCTCCCCTTCATTTCTTTGTCCTTCCTTCCCTTCCTCCCTCCCTCCTTCCTTCCCTTTCTCCATCCCTTCATCTCTTCCTCCCTCCTTCTCTCCATCCCTCCCTCCCTCCCTCCTTCCTTCTCTCCCTCCCTCCCTCCCTCCTTCCTTCTCTCCCTCCCTCCCTCCTTCCTTCTCTCCCTCCCTCCCTCCTTCCTTCCTTCTCTCCCTCCCTCCCTTCCATCCCTCCTTCCTTCTCTCCCTCCTTCCTTCTCTCCCTCCCTCCCTCCCTCCCTCCCTTCCTTCCTTCCTTCTCTCCCTCCCTCCCTCCTTACCTCCATCTCTCCCTCCCCTCCTTACCTCCATCTCTCCCTCCCCTCCATCCCTCCTTCCTTCCATCCAAACATCTGGTTAACTGGGTCAAGTGTTAGGCTTATCTCTTCCCTTCCCCACCACTGACACCCCCCCCCCATACTTCCCGTACACTCGCTCTGCTTCACCTCAATATCCATTGCTCCATCCCTTCATCCCTCCTTCCCTTCCTCCATCCCTCCCTTCCTCCATCCCTCCCTTCCTCCATCCCTCCCTCCCTTCATCACTCCCCTCCCTCCCTTCATCACTCCCCTCCTTACCTTCCTCTCTCCCTCCTTCCTTCCATCCCTCCCTTCATCCAACCATCCCTCCCTCCTTCCCTCCATCCCCCCCTTCCTCCCTCCATCCTTTCCTCTTTCCCTCCATCACTCCCCTCCATCCCTTCGTCCCTCCTTCCCTTCCTCCATCCCTACCTCCCCTCCATCCCTTCGTCCCTCCCTCCATCCCTCCCTCCTTCCCTCCATCACTCCCCTCCATCCCTTCGTGCCTCCTTCCCTTCCTCCATCCTTCTTTCCCTCCCCCTCCTCCCCTTCTTCCCTCCCTCCATCTCTCCCTCCTTCCCTTCCTCCTTACTTCCATCTAAACATCTGGCTGCGAGCTGGTCCGTTCCCCCACCAACGACACCCCCTCCCCCCCAAACTTCCCATACACACTCTCTGCTTCACCTCAACAACCATAGCACCATCCCTCTCTCCCTCCCTCCATCAATCCATCCATCCATCCATCTCCATCCACTCCCTCCCTACCTACCACCTAGCCTCTGCCTGCCTGCCTCCCTCCCTGCCTCTGCCTGCCTGCCTCCCTCCCTCCCTGCCTCTGCCTGCCTGCCT